ACTTTCTGAACATTGGTCTGTAAATGGTTGTTGCCCTGGCCCTGCCGTGGATGTTGAAAAACATGCCTCAAGCTCCCCCACCATGCCACTCACCCCCACCTCTGATGCAGTCAGCTCTGCAACCCCTGACACTACCCTGCCTGCAGGCTCGGCTGCGACTCTGCTTTCTTCTGTTCCTGGGTGCCCAAGCCTGGGGACAGCCACCATCCACAGGGCTGCCCTGTGCTGACAGGTGGCTCTGCGGAAGGATGGAGAGCTAAAGGCAGAGCTTTGGGAACCGATTTTGACTTGAGGGGTGTATTTAACGGTTCTCTTGGCTCAGTCCTTTTGTGAAAGAAAATAAAAAGGCATTAATTTAGTTTTTAAAGGCAGCACCTTTCACAATATGACTGACTGCCAGCCTGCCTATCACCACTCTCAACACTGATCAGTCCTAGCACTGAGGGACAATTATGAAGTCCAGAGCAGCAGTATCTGGCTGTATGACTGCATGCTGCAGCTGGTGGTGGAGGTGGAGCATCCTTTTGCAACCGTTGCTTCCCTCCCTCTACCTCTGCTCTCTCCTTTCGTATTCCATAACTCAGCTACAGAGGAGGATTTTGCTGGTTGACAATTGCGCAGCATAACCTGGTTCATAGCCCAAAGGGAGGAGGGTGTTCATGCTAGGCAGAGCACTGAGAATTCAGGAGGGGCTTTTATAACCTACTGAACCACATAAGACCTAGGAAAGATCTAAAGATTATGTAGTTTTTTCAATGTTTTCTTTCCTCACCCCTGCTTTTTTTTAATGCCAAGCCTGCTAATGGTTTATGCTGGTTGAAAAAACAGTTCAAGTTTTGCCCCTGTATCAGAGTGGCAATGAAGCGTGCGTGAGGGTTTGCTCAAGTGGCAAAGCTTATCTGATTTGAGAAAAACCAAACAGCTGAGGCCATTCGAAAAGTCATGCTCCTGTACACTTTTAATCAGTTGTGTCTGCCAAAAGAGATCTTGCACAAGCAAATCTGGCTTCATGCAACAGGAACATTTTTGCGTGTATGCAAGCTGGCTTTGACTTCTTGATAATGTGGTCTCTGGAAGCAGTGTTAATGTGCTTGTTATATCCCTGGCTGCTGGAATTACCTTAATATCAAGGTATTCATGGTTGGTGGTTTGGTACGTAGCTCTACGTTTTATTGACTTTGTCTGCACTAAACTTCCTTACCAGCATGTGTGCTGATGGGGAGTTTCCTTTGGTTGTTCCAAAGGGCTGGTGAGGAAAGGAGATAATTCACAGGACAGCAGAGCCCTAGACAAGTCTGAGACAGTTTTATTTTCTTCCTCCTTGAAGTATCTGTTTCCTTAACTCTACTTCAGTTCATTATTATTTGCAGCTACAGATTCAATAGGGTTTTTTTACAGTAACAAAAAATACTTTATCAGTTAGCTAATGGACAGTAGATGTTCTTTTAATTTAAAAATGTATACTACTATTTTGATTCAGGCTTGTTTGCTTATATTAACTTACTGTGTTAGACATGCTTTCTGATTTAGAGTGAAAGGAGTAGAAACCAAACAAACCAAAATATTTTGGCAGAGGTCCTGGGAATGGTTGTCAGGGTGTAGTGTATCTGAGGTGCCTGTGTCAGGTATAAGATGGGAAATAGTAATGCAGGTATTATATATAACATGGGGTTTATACATATGGACATCCATGAATCATTTATTGTGGGATATCGTACTGGTCACTTCACTCAGGAAGCAGTGGGGAAGTGGATAACAGGGGAAAACCCTTGTCTGAAGCCCGATTTTGTTCCGCTGTTGGTTTCATCAGAGTTTCTTTCCCCAGATGACTGCTGCTGGCTGCTGCCAGTGATAAGGGAGGGGAGCAGAGGCAGTGCTGCTCCAAGACGGCGTGACAGATCCTCTCTTCCCGTATCAGTGTGTCAGAGAAAAAGGGAAGTATTTCTGCAGGGAAAGGAAACCAAGATTAATTTCCCTGGGGAGGAAAAAAGCACTAGAGGAATTCAGGATCACAGGAAAAAGTGATGTAAGAGAAAAAAATAGGAAGCAAATCAACACAAAAAATACCCTACCACCAAAAAAAGCACCAGAAATTGGCTGGGATCCATTTCAGGAAATCACTGTAAAGCTGAGTAACTTTGTCACATACAGAAATAAAAATCAAGGGAGGACACAAAAGATGACAGGGGAGCTCTGATACAGCCTCTTTCATCTATGGCAGACTCCAAAACTAACAGCTCTGCCATGCTGACCTCACATGTGCAAGATCAACTCTACACATGGGGACAGTAGAAAGGCACAGTGAGAAACGGCTTTGGTTGTGAGTTGAAACACAGTCTGGAGCGTGCCAGACATTGCCAAGGGCAGCAGCACAGCTTTACTTTTCAGATTAAGCCTGAAATGGCAAATTTTGCAGCTGTCCATCTGTTGGTGTAGCCCAGGGAAGACATTGTGCCTTGGAACTGCCTCCCTGTCTCCCATCTGGTGGGGATAACTCTTCTGCTATGGCATTTTAGTACGTCTGATGTTACATGTCCTCCACTGGGTCTGGAAATGTGGCAGGCTGCAGTCTCAGGATTTTCTCCATTCAGGGCTCCTGCACAGGGAACAATGTATTTCAGGGCAGAGCAGAGGCAGGGCAAGAACTCTTACCAGGCCCTTGTGCAGGTTGAACCTGTGGACCCAGCTGGTGCTGCAGGTGAATGGTGTGGTGTGTGCATACCAAGCTGGGTATATGAAGGCAGTATCAGAGCCACAGTGTATGTGGGGCAGAGCTGCTGTGCACAGCGTGCCCAGTGTATCCCAACCATGCCAGATTTATTACACATAGGCCCACTATTTGTGCACAAGACAGGCAAGTCTGCTCTTTGCCAAGCCTACAAGCCCCGTCCCTGCCCCACCAGCTTAAGCTCACCAGCTGGAGCACTGAGGAGGGAAGGTGGAGACTTGGCTGTCTCCATCCTTGTGGCCTCCGGAGAAGGAGGAGCTGCTCCCAGGAGTAGGCATCCAGGTAGGCTGTGCAGGGGGATGGGATGGGGATATGTCCCTGGAACTGGATTGGAGAGGCCAGCTATCTCTTTGCCTAGCAATTTGTAGCAGTGAAATCTGTTCTGACAATGTAATGCTTGTGCCTGGAAGCAATGGCTATGGAGAAGGAAGATGTGTACATATCTGGGGACGGATTTTTGCACATATTTTATATCCATGACTTATCCAGTGTGAGGCTTGGTGTGGGGAATGGAGGCTTTTCACTAAGCAGTATGCATTTTCCTAAAAGGTTTCACATTAGAGGTTGCATATATTTACCACGCACTGACAGCAGTGCTTGATTTTGAGTTTGTCTAAAGAGCAGTTGCATGTACACTCCTTCCCACCCTTACCCCTCCTACGCCCCCCCATTTCCTCCCGTTGTTCTTTTTCAGATCACTTGAAGGTTTTTTCCTGTTTATTATCCGGACATGCTGCGCACTGTGTTGATTTGACTGTCACATAAGGAATCTCCTACTGAGATCATTGATGCATTCCTTTCTTTTATATATATATATATATATATATGGCAATGGCTCCTAAGCTATGGAAGAGAAATGTTGGTGATTTAACCAAAATTGGAATGACCTACAGGTGTTAATGTGAGTTAAGTTTAATTACCCTTTCCCAGAAAACCTGCAACAGTGTGATGAGTATGGCCATAAACAAAAATTCTCCTTGATTGACATAACAGGAAAGGTACTTCAGTGAGCAATTATGCTGATGTCCTGGACTGGCACATGTGTGTACCACAAATGTACTTCCTGCAAAATTCTTTTAAGTAGCTATAAGGAAGACGTTCTTTTTTTTTTTTTTTTTTTTTTTTCTTCAGTGGTTCACGAAAACGAATCCCTTACTTAAGGCTCTTTTTGAGGAAAACAATGGAACAAAACAATGCTTTTTGTATGACCTGCCAAAGCACAAAGGATGCATGGGTTGTTTTTTTTCTTTGTTGTTTTTATCAGCAGGAAGTTTTGTTGTTGGAAACGACTATAACATGCACTGTCCTTGCTCTACGTAATCACTGTCTGGTCCTGCAAGCCTCATCAAACTGGCACAGGCACCATTCTGCTTCACTCTGTGGGCTTTGTTCAGTCCTGAGTGTCCGCACACTTACTCTCCATCCGGACTGATGCACAGTAAACAAACTTCAGGAGTCGGGTGGTCCAATGATTGCTGGGTTCGCGCAGGTCAGGGCCCACGGCTAGAATGCTGACTTTGTGAATTGCTTCCTTTTTTTTTTTTCCTTAGCCAGCTTAAAATCATAGTGCTGTACAGTGCAAACAGCTTCGAAGTGTTTTCAGGTGTAAATATTCCTTTCCAAAACTCGACTTTGATGTGTTCAGGTCTGCTTTGTTTCCCTCTAGGTTAGTTGTAGGTTTGTAACAAAGAGCCAGATCCGATTGAGTAAATCACTTGTGGAAGTTAATTGTTCACAGTGAAAGCTGGTCTGGCTCATTTTGCCTCTGTCGCAGGAAGAGACAGAGGTGGTGTGCTGGATCTGCGTTCTAAACCAAGCATTGACGCGACTTTAATTTTGATCAGATGTCTCTCTTCAGGGCATTAAAGAAAACCTGCTCAGTAATCAAAAAGAGCCTCTTCTCTAGAGAAACGTAAGAAAAAAATTTAATGCATTTTACAGAAATAAAGTACTAATATAAAATTTCAGTTTTGTCAAATTTCTTTTGCAGGCTATCATAAAGATACCTACTTCTCCATATTTGGTGGCCACCAGAATCAAAGAATGATTTTTTAATTTTTTCTTTTTTTTTTTAAACTGGGAAAAAGTATACCAAATTATTTGTAATGTCAAATTGTATGATGATAACTTTATATTCCAACTGTCTTTATTCACTGCTGTTGTGTTTAGATTATGTTTGTGCCTTCTCTCCATCAACATTTTCAAGTGCTTTCAGAATCAGTTATAGGCTTTGATTTCATGAAGTAACAATCTTCTTTTATTCTCTCCTTAGGACTGAAGCAGTGAGAATGGAAACCACAAAGATTAATATGTCCCGCATCCCGCTGGTTAATGGAGGCATCGACACTGCCATGCTCAAGGCACACAAACCCCGTGTGATGTCCAAAAGCGGTCACAGCAACGTGCGCATAGACAAAGTTGATGGCATTTACCTACTCTACCTTCAGGATTTGTGGACTACAGTTATAGACATGAAGTGGAGGTACAAACTCACCTTATTTGCTGCTACTTTTGTTATGACCTGGTTCCTCTTTGGAGTTATCTACTATGCCATTGCATTCCTTCATGGTGATTTAGAAATAAACAAATTCACCCCAAAGCGTGAGCCGTGTGTCAAGAATGTAGACTCTCTGACTGGGGCATTCCTCTTCTCCCTGGAGTCGCAGACGACCATTGGCTATGGATTTCGTTTCATTACAGAGGAGTGTCCTCATGCCATTTTCTTACTTGTGGCCCAGCTGGTCATCACCACCTTGATTGAAATCTTCATCACAGGGACCTTTCTGGCTAAAATTGCAAGACCTAAAAAACGGGCTGAGACTATTAAATTCAGCCACTGTGCTGTCATTACCAAGCACAATGGAGAACTTTGCCTGGTGATCAGAGTAGCAAATATGAGGAAGAGCCTTCTGATACAGTGTCAGCTGTCTGGGAAGCTTCTTCAGACATATGAAACCAAAGAAGGGGAACGGATCCTGCTGAATCAAGCCAGTGTCAAGTTCAATGTTGACTCATCTTCAGAGAGTCCATTTCTCATTTTGCCTTTAACCTTCTACCATATTTTGGATGAAAGCAGCCCTTTGAGAGATCTGACACCTCAGAATCTCAAGGAAAAGGACTTTGAGCTTGTGGTGCTTCTGAACGCCACGGTGGAGTCTACCAGCGCTGTCTGCCAAAGCAGGACTTCCTACATCCCTGAGGAGATTCACTGGGGCTATGAGTTTGTGCCTGTGGTTTCTCTCTCTCCAAATGGAAAGTACGTTGCAGATTTCAGTCAGTTTGAGAAGATTAGGAGAAGCACAGATTCCACTTTTTATAGTATGGACTCTGAAAAACAAAAACTAGAGGAGAAATACAGGCAGGAGGATCAAAGAGAGAGGGAACTGAGAACGATGTTATTACAGCAGAGCAATGTTTGATTGAATGGACAAACTATCCTGATTAATCCTTTTTGCAAACTCAAAAAACATGCTCTCTGTGATGTATGTCTTCTATGAAACCAGCAGTGAAGTCGTTTTCAGCAAAAAGCTTTGGTGTATAGTAAACCTGTTCCTTTGGCTGAGCTGTTAATCAAGTATTTTGTAATTAGGCAGGATTTCTTTGTTCATGATCTTGACTTAGCAAAGTTGGATTTGTATTAAGTCTCTGCCTTATACCACCACTAAAAGCAGACACACCACTTTCCGTTTGGAAAGTGAAACTGGATACACTGTGCTGATTCCTTCAAATATTTAATTGACATGGTTTTACTGTGAACATGTATTCGCAGAGACAGAACACAGTACTGCTAGAAGAACATATTCTCCTTTAAATGCATATATTTATAATGTATATTCTTGTACCAGGTATTTCCTTCACAGAGATTCCTGGCACTTAAAGTAAGTTGATTGGAGAGACAAATGGTTGGGTGTGGGAGAGCCTGCAGGAAGGTGATAAACTCTTTCTTAAATCTTGAAGGAGGGTGACAGAGTAGTCGTGCTGGGTGGTGAGGAAGGGAGCTCGCTCTCTGTGTCTGCTACTCAGAGCTTGTTTTGTGATCACTCACTTTTTTAACCTTGTTAACGCCTGATTTATATATCATAGTAAAAAGGGGAGATGAGGGCAACATACAAAGAATCATAACAGTAATTGACTAAGTTAAAGCTGGCTTTGAGACACCTTTTTTTTTTTTTATCGAATGTAAATAGTTTGTAATAGCAGCATAACAGTACATTTCTACAGATTGCTTGCTTTGCTATGGACCATATTTAATTTTGGTTAAAAGAAAGCTGTATAATGTCTGTAGACAATATTTACTTTTTCTGGCAACCGTTAAGGACAAGCATTCCTTTCATCCATTTCATTTTTGTTCTATTAAAACCATTCCATTAATAAAGGAATTTCATTTGAGCAGCTCCTGATCTCTTTGTGGCACGGGGAGAGGGTGTGGTACCTCAGAGATGTTGAAAGAGCTGAGTGCTTGGCATAAGCAGTTGCATCCAACCCAGGGACTCAACAGGTCACTAAAGTGGTCAGATTACAGGATGCAAACCAGGTAGCAGTGGTGTACATGTAGCATGCCTATTATATGTAGTTCAGCTTTTTTTATGGGACTTAGAAATTATTTCTGACTCATATCACTTTGGTAGCTTTCTGAGTTCTAGAGATTTTGCTTCTCTAAAGCTTTGGCAAGGAAGAACTGTATTAAGTATGAGTTTTGGGTCTGTGGGCCAGGTCTTGGCCTGAGAGCCACCAAGCCTTGCAGTGATGAAAGGACTTTTGGCATCATCAAGCTTACTGTTAATGTGCTTAGTTTCCTGGCACTGTGTGGCCTAGTGGAATGCATTCCTTCAGTGTGCCATACAGTATTCTATACAATAAATGAATCTGGCTTGGTGCCTAAAGAGGCATGAAGCAAGTTGAGCACAGAGACGGCCATGGCACCAAGAAGAAGGGAGCACATACTTCAGGAGGTGGTAGTGGTAAGGGGGAGCATGAGAGTCTTAAAACTGCTCACTTAAGTAGATGGTTAGCTCTCCTGTGTGAGAAGTCAGAGATCCAAGTACCTGTCTGAAGAGAGCGATTTAACTTAATCCAAGAAGGTTCCCTACCCACTACAATGTGACCAAGTTTTCTCAAACCATGGTAATCACCTAGCATTTTTGGAAAGAATTTCTTGGTGTATTATGCTGTGTTGTCACACAAGTTTTCATCTGCAACCGCATATAGATGATGTTAATGTATAAATTATTGTTTGTTAATTTTCAATTTTCCTTCACTTTCTCTGGACACTTGTTTCATTGCAAGGAAATGTGATTCATAAATTTTTGCAGTCACCTCGTAGATTGCTTTGGGATGCTGAGGTGAAAGAGTGCAGGCCTCTTAGCTCTTCTGCCAAGCCTTAGCCTCCATGTTTTCATAATCAAACATACACTCCAATTCTTTCTTATCTGTGTAAGTGCTCAGATCATTCCTAAAGTCATAGTCTCAGCTGTGTATTAACTGTAAAACAGCTTCACCAAAAGCAAGTGAGCTGGTTCTTCTCCAGAAATATCTGATGATGAACTGATGCCCTTCTCACCATCCTCTTCCCATCCCTGGAAATAGAGACATGCCAATTTGTATCTCTCAGGTGAGCGTTCCATTGATTTGAATAAACTTGTTTGTTATTACACTTTCTTGTTGTATCCAATAAATCCTAGTGCATTAAGCCCTGTAGGGTATACACATGCCAAGTCCCAGTGGGCCTACGTATTTCTTGAGTGTCAGATCTAGAAAATCCTGTGAGTACCCAGCTGCAGCAATGTACTTATGTGGGACTTTTGTCACAACCCTTTAGGAGCCTAGAGACAAGGCTTCTCCAGGCTTTGACAGCTGCTGAGCAGTAATTTTTTAGGATCTTCACTTTGGGAGCTAAGGAAGCAGGTAGAGACTTAAATCCCCATGTACACTAATCCCAAGATTCAGTCACTATTTTCACTACAGCATTCCAGTCATTAGGTTATCCTAAATTAAAAACACCATAAGCCAAAATCTTGGGAAGAAAAAAAGCATCACAGAAATTATTTTCTCTGAACTTTCAGTCATACAAGTCAAGAAAGAAGAGAAGAGAAGAGAAGAGAAGAGAAGAGAAGAGAAGAGAAGAGAAGAGAAGAGAAGAGAAGAGAGAGAAGAGAAGAGAAGAGAAGAGAAGAGAAGAGAAGAGAAGAGAAGAGAAGAGAAGAGAAGAGAAGAGAGAAACAGAACACTAGAAATCTTTGTCAAAGTCAAAGCAAACCTTCATCAGGTAGTGAGAGATTGTACAGTAGTACTATATGCATAAATTAGTATAGTATATAATTCTCTGCTATTCATTCCAGTTTCAGAACGCAGTCTTTCTCCGCAATGATCTGTACTTTTCCTTCTTGCTTTCGTGCAAGCATAACTTACATTGCTCTATCTACAAGTTAAGAAGACCAGAAGTGGCCTTGGAGCAGCATGCTTAGCTGCAAAGTACTGAACTGTAGTGGAAAAATGTCATGACATATGGATCTGATATGAATCACCAGCAAACCACAACCTCTCTGATTGTGGTAAGTTCTTCTGGTTGTGTCAATGTAACTGTGGTGATTCACCTCAGCTGAATACTGACAGGATGGAGCAGAAAGCAAAACTTCATGACCATCCCAAAGCTGCCTTACTCATGAGTTAGTACTGTCCTGCCCACATGGTGACTGAGAGTGTGAGAGCCTTCTTGTCTTCTGGTCCCCAGGGTGTCAGGGCAGAGCATCCACAGCTCTATCAGGTCAGGTCCCTACACAGCCAGCAGCAGCATCTTCTCACTCCTCTCCCTGCCCCATACATGGAAGATACCACTTTGGGAACCAATGAGTTTGATGGTTATACTGGTCTCTAAAATGTACTAACTTTATGAATAAATTTAAATGAAATCTGAATCTAAAATTTCAGGGACAAAAGAAAGCAGTGGAGCCTCACATCCCTGTGTGCACTAAGTGCATGAGTATGTCCTTCAAGTAAATCCTCCATTCAGGTCACTAGATCATTCAGAAGAAAACAGTCATGGTAGATCAAAATTTACTTTTAAAAGTTTATTGAGAAACATGACATATTCCTATTTATTTTATTAATGAGTGACCAGAACATTTTTAGAGTTTTTGTAATCATTTGGATTTGTACAGTACACAGCTGAATGAGAACTCATTTAAGTCCATGGAGTGTTTCTGAACTGTTTGCTTTGGCTTATGCTTCAATACTTTATTGTTCTTTTTTTTTTTCCCTCTTTTTTTGATTTATTTTTTCTTTGGAAGTAGGTGATTGAAGAAGCATAATTTCACTTCTGTTTCTTCCTTGCAATGACTTAGGAAGAAATGAACCCCCAGACATTGCAAGCTGACTGTGCCACAGTCAGATCCACCATCCTTCACAAATGTCACACTTCATCTTCCAAACTGATGACAATATTTGTGGAAAGCCAAGAATTTGACAGGGGAACATAGTGGTCTCCAGAAAAATGTGGTTCTCTAATTTTCTGAAGAGATGTACTAGAGCAAATATTCATTAGGTCCAAAAGATACTGGGGAGGGGATGCAGAATGGAAAAATGGAGAGAAAAAAAACCCAAACCAAACATGCACACACATACTTGGCTGTATGACTGGACATTTGCCACTTCCATAGGATGCCAGGTTAAAAAAAAAAAAAAACAAAAAACAAACAAACCCAAAAACCCCAAAATAAAACAAACAACCACCTCTCAGATTTGCTGAGATGACTCAAAGGACTGGGAAAAGTGAATGCAAGTTCTGTATTTGAACAAATGTTCCTGATGACTTCTGAATGTGTTTGCTCAGTGTTAGTCTGATGACAGTCTGATCTTGAAAGAGAACAGGTAAGACTCTCTGATGAGTCTCACTCTATCAAATCAGTGATGGAGAGAAGCTTAAAAAAGCATAGTGTATGCTCTAGCTCTTGCTTATTCATTGCTACTGTTTGGCTGCAAAGCAGTCGTGTCCTGGTCACACTCATGTGTTGGGATTACATGAATAAAGGAATGTTATCCTGACTTGCCTGCTCAGCCTTCAGCCGATACTCTCTGCAAATATTAGATTACCGGAACCCTTTTAATGCAATAGGTACTGGTTGAACATCTTGTACCTAAATGGCTTGAAAGAGCTTTTGGAACATTTCCAGGATGTCATATATTCCCTTAGTAGAGACTGTTCAGAGCTGCCCTGTCCTGCATTAGCACATATTACATGCAGCAAAACAATGTAATTCCAAAAGTAGCGCAACACACATATGCTTTTGGCATCTCCTCTTAACAATAAATTCTGCAGTGGTCACTGTACAGCCCACCATACTGCATGACTGTCAAACTCATTCCTTCTTTATTATACCCAATAAATGTTTATCCAGACAGAATATGACATGATGACTGACATTAGTGGTACTGAGAGGAGGAAAGTGTTTAAGAACATGTGATTTATGACTCTGACAGGCCATGAATCTTTCAGAGTGGTCAAAGACTGTACTTCTCTACATGCCTGCCCCTCTCCTTTGCCCAGGATCAGCATTCTCAGGACCAGCAGCAGAATAGAGCACTGCCTGTCACTACTGAGACTCCAGCTAAGATTCAGTCATGTGCAGGCTCTGATGAAACCAAAACCACCTCAGGGAAGTAAGCTGGTGCTAAGATCCTGCACTGTGGAGGTGCAAGATGTGTGTTCTGTTCTGCTGACTTTCATGCAGAGCAGAAGTGTCTGATGGGGGCAGCAGCATAAAGCTGTCTTCAGCCACCCTCACTGTATATATACTCTCTCTCGGGAACACACCAGCCTCAAACTAAAATGCAGTGAGTCTGAGTTGCTATACATTAAAAAGGGCTGAGGAGTCTGAGAAAAAGACTTAGCAGAGGTCAGATGGCTCCAGCACTCATTAACAGCTTTTACAGTACAAATTGTTCACCTCCCACAGACCTATTTCAACATCTTTTCCCTTCCGCTGCTCATATTAAGCATCTAATTATCTAATGCTAACTAGGATCCTAATTAATTTATCTTTCCTTTGCAACAAAGATACATATTGAATCATAAACAGACTAAGATTTCACTTAACAGCTACAGTTAAAAAACAATTGTCAAGTTAGGGAATTGTTATTAATTCTTTACCCAATGAAATCAGTAGAATGGTCTGTGAAATGTACCCTTCACTGTGCTCCAAAATAAGAAATTTCTCAAAATAAATATCAAAGTCCAAGATCTGGAATGAATTAGGTGATTCATGCTAAATGGCCAATCTTGCTAGTTATTGGAAAAAACTAGATTGTTATTTTCAGAAAAAAAAAAAAAAAAAAGAAAAAAAAAAAAAAAAAAGTATCATAAATGCTGCCCTGATGGTAGACAAAGTTTGGAAAGAACAGTATATACCATAGTGGCCTATGAAAGA